ATTTTGCGCGAAAATATGCACGGATATTTGTCCGCGGGCATTATCTGTACCGAGAAGCGAACAGATAATGTCCGCGGACAAATATCCGTGCATATTTTCGCGAAAAATGAAGCCTATTGTTACAGTAAATTTGTCTGGGAGAGTAGAAAAATTATCCAAAGGAAAGGGAGTCATATGATGAATCAGTTATTAACAAAGGGTTATTGCCGCTCTACTGTTGGCTGTCTTCACTGTTGCTAAGTTTGACATGTCCTTGTCATTATGGAGATGGCCCACTGCATTTATTGATGCCATGCCTACTATTAAGTTTCCTGACTTTTCGCTGCCCTTGGGGAAAATGTTTTTCCCTGGCTTTTCCTCTCCGTGACAATTCTGTCACTATTTGCCTGCATGAAGAAACAGCTTTTCCACTGTTGCAAATCGATGCACTCCAAAACGTTTCAAGACGACTGTCACAAAAATGCATAGTTCAACTTCGTTCCCATGGAAGGAAGAATTCCTGGAAATTCTTTATTAAATCGGCCTGGGTATCCTGTGACCATGTTTCCAAAGTCGATAATTTCGCGTCGAAATTGCTAGTGCTGACAAAAACAAAAGCTGAGCGTACTCTGGGTAATTAAGTCTGCACTAAGTTGTCAACTCTTCCTGTTACCTTTACAAGAAAAAAAACCAATTCCAGACAGACTTTTGTCCTGGACCATCGGTCAGTTGATAGGCTAACGCTTCACGCTTTACGTTTTGCTAGAATACCTGGGTATTCAAACATATCGAAAACGTTTAAACGAGCGAACACAGAAGAAAACATGGCCTGCTACTACTTTTCATTTATTCTGCGTTGTTAGCAAAAGGATAAATTTCGCATCTTGTATAACATCACCATCAAATTTACGATAAACTCGGAAAACAAAACTCCGTTTCACATCACTGTATGTTTTTCGGTTGATCGTTAGTCAGGTCAGTAACACAGCAATCCAGCAGGTGGTTATGGGGTTAGTTTCACAAACGATCTTAACAGCTCCAGGTTTCTTAACCAACAACTGGTTTTCCTTTTCCCACGATCCTTTCAAGTGGAACTCTGTATTTTGAATCTGATCGATAGAAACCATATTAGCAGTCAAGAAAATATCTTTTATGTCACGAAGAACATTCATAGCTTCTTTCAAGTTCTTAAAGTCTTTCCTGAATGCGACCCTGGTGATTGTCGAAGTGTAAGTTGTTTCTACCGCGATTCCTGCAGCTTTAATGGAGTTTCTCTTCCTCATTCCATAAACTTTGTACCGGCTCAAGCTTGGATGTTGCTTCACTTTAAAGGTGTATTCAACTGTCTTCGTGGAATAGCCAGCCAGGTCTGTTTGAGAGAAAAACACAACCCCAGCTGAATGCCATACATTAGTTGAGGTAATAAATCTAAAATATCTCTGAATTGATCGCTTTCGTTCTAGAGTCTATGTATTACTGAGAGAATCTTATGTTACCAAGCTACTCTTTTGAATGTAATGGTAATCTGCCGTAAATGTTAAACTCATCACTCAGTTGATTTTAGTTAAACTGGATGTGTTAACTCAGTAGTTACCAGAAAGCAGCTGTTATCTGTGAGCAAAGTTGAACATGCACAGAAAGTAATCAGTTTATTCAAAGACCTTGGTATGCTTACCCTTCGAGTAAATTTGCATTTCAATGGGATAGTGGTCACTTACAAGTGCTGCCTGCAATGAATCAAAATATGCTAGTTAATTGGAAAATTAAATGAATTATAATGTAAAGATATCTGATTAATTTCAACCCTGCAAGAGATTTTAGACAGTAATGATGTAAACACCTATGTTGCAAAAGTGTCTTCGTTCCAATATTGAACACTCCCAGGAAAACACTAATGTTAGGAACACTTTTTCGCTCCACACTCCCGTCCCCTCCCATAATGAAAGGAGATGATAACACCTATAACAAAGTACATAACAAGGTCTGTATCATAGTCATACGGTACATAACAAAGTCTTCATCATAATTACACGGTACATAACAAGGTGTTTATCATAATTACACGGTACATAACAAGGTCTTTATCATAATTACACAGTATATAACAAAGTCTTAATCATAATTACACGGTACATAACAAGGTCTTTATCATAATTACACGGTACATAACAAGGTCTTTATCATAATTACACGGCACAAAACAAGGTCTTTATCATAATCACACGGTACATAACAAGGTCTTTATCATAATTACACGGTACATAACAAAGTCTTAATCATAATTACACGGTACATAACAAGGTCTTTATCATAATTACACGGTACATAACAAGGTCTTTATCGTAATAGTCCTTTTCACGGTTACCTTTCCTCATTTGCATTACAATAAAATCTAGCATGTATGTGAGGCAATTTCGGGCTATTTTGTAGTGTTAGCCCGAAATCGCCTCGCATCCACGTTGGATTACATTGTAATGTAAATGAGAAAAATTAACCGTGAAAAGTGCTATTACACGGTACATAACAACAAGGTCTTTATCATAATTACACGGTACAAAACAAGGTCTTTATCATAATTACTACACGGTACTACATAACAAGGTTGTCTTTAGCATGGTAAAAGGGCAAATTATATACCTCTTACTAACCGAGTTCGAGGGCCGTACTGTAAGTTACGGACCGAGTCTTTTTCCTCTTCGATTTAGGGCCGCGCGCTTTGCGCTTAGGCCATAAATCGAAGGGGGAAAAAATTCGGTCCGTAACTTACAGTACGGACCGATAAAACGAGGTTAGTAAGATATTTATTATATCTCTACTGTGTATCTGACGGGTTCAGGAACGATTTCTATTCACGCGGAACGGCGTCAAATTTCTGACGCACCTCGAAAGCAAAACGAGTCAATTTGAAATCGTTTTTAAGTCGTTGGCATACTTTAATACACAATTCAGAGTAAAAGAAAGTTTTAATTTTTTACTTGCTATAAAAGTTATGAACACTTTGCGATAAATCACAACACAGTTTTGAAACAAACTCAACTTTAAATTTTAGCGGGCCGTACAGGAGAGTACGGCGCGCGTACTAACTAAGAGACATAATAAAACTGAAAGGTGCTAACCATAGTCTTGTTAATGTTCAAATGTTGATCATATTGATAACTTCCTGAGCTTGATTCCATTGCTGCATTCAACATGGCATCCCCAGCAACTACGAATCTGAAAATAATATAAAAAGACAATGTAACAATAAAAGTAATTTCCACGACAGATCACGCTAACAAATCGCCCGCTTTCCGCACCAGTCAAACCCACAACAGAAGCAATGCAAGCCTTAAGATTATAACAGTGTCGCTGAAATTCGTAGTCAAAACGTAAAAAAAGAACAGTTCCTATCACCCTCAGCCGGCCCAGGCACCTTGTCAGTTTTCACTGACAATTTTCCAGAACCCATTTAGACATCTGAGTGAAGAGCAGCAAAGTGAAAGCAAAGAGACTTCCTCAAGGTTACTGCTCCCTCGCCAAAGTTATTAAAGTGCCTGTAAAAACCTCTACTGGGCCTTTCTGATACAAACAGTGTTGTTTTATTTCGTACGGAAACATGAAGACTGAGGATGCATTAGTGTAAAACACTCTCTTTGTTCAGTACTGAAGTGAAACGAACTACCATGTACCCAGCGAGAGGACTGGAAGTGGCTAAAGAGATACTCGCACTATAAATAAGTCGACTATGACACGACAAACAGACATCGCCTCTCTCATGACAATTGTTGTTACAACAACTTTGACAAATTATTTTGCTACACAGAAAGGTACAAACTTCATTTTACGTGGGATTTTAATAAGCCAAAGATATTCCTAGAGCCGGATCAGCAACACTATGATGGTTACTTGTCATAAGGACGGGAGGCATTGGGAAAGAGGACGACGTCACGAAAGAACTTGGTTCTTATCCTATCAAAAACTCACCGGTCATATGCGCAGTGTCCTCCATTCACCGTGGTGTCCACGCAATCAGAAATAAGCCAATGAAAGCGTTTATCATTAGCCAAATGGTTGGTCTTCCAATCTCTATCACTCATGTAACTACAGGCGGCGTTCAAGTCTCCGAGAATAATAACATTTGTTATGGCTAGCTGCTTCATGACGTCATCATATACAGCAACAAGCTGGTCGATTTCCTGATTAGCTTTAGACGGGGATGTATGGATGGCGACCAGGACAAAATCGGTAATTCCTGAAGATATGAAAAACACGACACAATTAGCTTAGTATCAGTTCAATCTCTTGTAAGACTATTTACAAAATTTTACAGAAAAAAGCAGCATTTTTAGTTAATTAAGCTACCGTCGTGCATCGTGAAAAGGTCTGATAACATAAAGAACAACATTGCATAATTTTACAACGATTAATGATAGTCTATTTCTTTCCTATCTACTGACAGGGATATCTTACATGGCTAACTGGCTATTTTACTTACTGGTTCTCGTGGAGGCGAAGTGCACAATGTATGGTTCCCTTTCAAACGTATCATTTTGTAGGTTTTCTTTGCCGTCGTCGTAAACGTAAGTACGTTTAACAGATAAAACGTGCTTCCTGTGGTAATCAAGGACAAACAAAATTAATGTACAGACAGTAACTACATTGTTACCAGTCTCTATTCCACTACAGCCTTGACTGAGGAACACATTTTAAGGTAGGCTTTAAACTTTAGCGAAGAAGTCTGTCGCTATTGTAAATCAAGTCACTCGCACAAGAAGTAGTCACAACTTTGTAAACGGTGGACTTACCTATACAAGAATGCATATTGTTCTTTGCTGGATGTTCTTCCAAGTCGTGGACTGATGGTGATACTGTACAGATCGTTGGTCGAATTCCTGCAAACCCTGCAGGATACATTCAGAAGCAATAAATTAAGTTAACAAAAAACCATGCGTAATTGAAATACAGTTACACTGACTTGTGACTTGCAGGACTCACTTGTTAACCAAAGATAACAACTCCACGATTGCTTTACCAGAGGAGTCTCTAATCTCCTGAATGAGAATGACGTCATAACGAAGAATGATCTGCAAATATCACGGAAGTTAAAAGAAATTAAAAACAGAAGACATCGCAACATGAATGCCATAAAAATATACCCTTTACCGCATTGAATTTTTCAATTCAAACAGGAGCCTCGTCTACTAAACTGAATTTGGCCCGGTATTGCTGGATTGCTAGTTGAATTTGGGTACGGAAAATACCTAATGGTACTTTTTTGGTACGCTTCAGCAGCATGTCGGCTTGTTTAGTCTCCACATAGGTATTTTGAATCGACTACGTTCGACACCGTTATCACCAGAAGATGGAGCAAAAAAGACGGAGCTCAATTACAACTGGGGCACCACTGAAAAACTAGCTAGCGACAGGCAGGATAGGAGAGGCTTCGTTGCTGCCCTACATGAATGAATGTACCAAAATGAATGAACCAAAATGGCACACGGCATGATGAGTGTAACTAAGAAAGTAAGATTATCGCCAAAATACGAACCATTACCCGACCAAAGTCGCCTGATATGCAGCCATAGCGCACCAAAACGAGCTGACTAAACCAAGCGCTGCGAGAAATAATATGAAATTGATTTGTCTCAGTTGATAATTTTATTGAATTTCTCTTGTAAATTAGCATTTTTTAATTTGCTTGTATTATTGTATAATTGTGATGTATTATGACCGAAAAGCCCTGTGAAGGAAGCTTCAATAAAACTGTATCTAACTATTTGTACGAACGAGCGCACGAGCGCCAAGCGGCAGGTATGTTGGTCACCTTCCCCAAGGTATTCGCGCCTTCTCGTTTGACGATAATTTTGTGTCAAAAAAAACTACCCTGCAGTAAAAAGACAATAAAAATAAGTCATGCTCCACTGTTACTCATTGGTTTTATGCATAATTACGTCACCACCGAGCCTCCTTTGCATGAAGTTTTCTCAAACCTCTGGCACCTTCGTGCTGTCTTCACGTGGGTGTTCTTTTCATCTTTGTTGCTTTGGAAATTTGTTCGTGATAAAATTTACAATTTGCATTTTCAACCATGCAAACTGCTGCAGTTAAACCAAACAACACAAATGCCAAAATTTTGCAAAATTAGTAATATTCGCCGCTAATATGAAGATTATATCGAGCCGATTGTACTGAGCAGACCTATGTTTGGAGAGACGTCATTGAATGTACTATCAAGTAACAATCATCGCCATTTCATAACCAGAATTTCACGAAATTCCAGCTGAAGATATCGTCCACGCACACAGTTGCAAAAAAGAAAAACCGTACCATTGTTTATCCTAATTTTTCTCGGAGATTTCCCCAAAATACGGATCATGGCTCGACTAAAGTCGCCTGATTTGCCGTCGAAACATAGCAGAAGGTATGTATAGGTGTAACTATAATACATATCTCACGAGATTTGACACGTCAAACTCAAACAAAATACGCACTACTAACCTTAACCAGAATTTCCGGCACTCCTGGGGTAGCCATTTTCTTCGTACCGAATGTTCGTACGTTGAAAGCTGCAAGCTTCAGATTGGATGGTTCAGAGTTCACACATCGCAACTTTTTCTCAAAACTTGGCACAGTCGTACTCGCATCGCTTCTTTCCACATCACGAAACTCAAAGGATGTGTGAATGCTGCCTTTATCCAATGAGTCTTGGTGTGTGAACACCACGGAACACAGCGCAGCAAAGTGTACCAGGATAATAACAACCATCTCACCCGCGCTAACATGAAACTAAGACAAAGCTGTCCAACACTCTATAACACGTTTTATTCTATTAAGAGATCCCGGTAGACTCTTTTGATTGGCGTAATATTAAAAACGCACGTATCACATTACGCAGCACTTATTATTTTACAAGGAAAGCACGGTCAGAAAAACAAACACAACCAAATAGAACTTCTCTCTAAATACTGAAACCTAGTTACTTCACACCATGTCTCTATCGCTGCTTGTTAGTAATTTAGATCGTGAAGTTTTAAAATTATACCAACGAGATTTATTTACATTTTGAAACAAATTCTACTCCGATAACTTGAACAACCCAAATTGAGTTTACTTAGATTGTAGAAAGAAAAAAATACTCCTGGGAAAGGTTGAAAAAGTTAAAACTGTATAAATAAACACAACTTATACAATACAACACACTAAAAGACAAACAGATCCACAAATAAACCAAACTTAAGATAAATACTTTTATTTCAGATAGCCTTAATTATACAAAACCATTTTCAAAGTTCTACCTACCTACGTTTTTTAATTCTCAACAATTGTCTTGACATTTTCTGTCGGTCATTAAAGGCGTGCCGGAAATATTTCCCAACCCCCGTTATATAAATATGAATATTTCGTTCGAGGATAAATCTGTATCTTCAGCCACCATCATAAACACTAAAGTCAATTTAGTAACGACTTAGTACCTCCTCTGCAGGATAGTGTTCTGTATAATCAAAGATTAAAATCCTCTGGCTCTAGTCTTTCTGTAAAATGTAGTTAGACTACTAAAATCTTCTGATATTTAACAGCTATTGCAGAAAAGATCAAAACGTGGTCGAACATAAAGACAGGTAGTAAAATGTCCGGTTTGTCAGTGATGATGCGCGGAAAAGAATGGAGTCGATTTTGCTATGATTGCTTACCTAAGACGCAACAAGATACTTGTCTACCTAAGAGCTATTTACTTCTTCAAACACCTTCGCTGCATTAGCTATCGAGCAACGGCGAAATTGATGGAGTTAACTGATTACTTTTAGAAGGTAAACATGTAAAATTATTTTCGTCATCTTTATATTTCAGTTCGTTTGCCGGCGCCTCATTTGGACTGACACTAAGATCAGTAAACTTATTTTTCTCACGTGATTTGCACGAGTTTGACATGTGAGAATGGCAAAAAGCACCAGGCCACTGCTCCGTCATCCGGGAATCATTTGCTTTTAGGACGACTTTGATTGGGTAGTCTCTTTATTAGTGGTTTGTCATAAACCCAGTTTTCTCCAACTTCATGGAACAACTACCAAAATAATAATAAAAATACCCAATTAACTTAGACTGGAAAACTCATCTTTGGTTTGTGTAGAATCCGTTATTGGATTGATCGAACGATAGTATTGTCGAATTAACCCAGTGTTTGGACAACAGCTCACCTTAGTTTCCCAAGTCAGTCCATTCTCTTTTCTCTCTCTTGCTTCAGCTCGCTGACGTTCCTCTAACTAAAACAAAAACAATCATACCATATTTCAGACGATCACTTTTCTTTGTAGTAATCACACGAGACACAGGTCTGCTCTGAGCTTCGTAAGCTTGTTCCAGACTCTTAGATTGTCATTTAAGCCAGATGATTTCGTGGTCTTCGATACATCTCGCAGAGAACAGCTGAGGTTTATGGTTGTGATAGTAAGATTGAATGTGTGTCCTGACCTGAACTGAGATGACTATTCCTTGGAATGGCGCGCAAACTGGTGAAATAGCTGTCTCGCATACTTTATGCGCGTGTTAACTTTGGTCTTTCTTAGGACAGTAACCAACTGACGAACAACGACACAAAAAGCAAGCAAGAAACAAATTTTGCTCCATCGGGCCAAGTAACCCATACCGTCGGATCTTATCTTGGTTTCCGCGACATAAAATGACTAGGGGTATTTCTACTTCTCCTTGGATGAGCTGCTAGTCCATCGCAGGGTTGCCCTCAGCATTAAATTCACCGGTACCCATTTATAAACCTGGATGGAGAGGGCAGAGTAAAGTTCTTTGACTAAGATAACAACGCACTGACCCCGGCCACGGCTCAAACTCGGACCGAGTCCAGTCCAGCGCGCTAGGCTACCGCGCCTCCCACCATTGACGACAGGAAACAAGTAACAATACCTTGTGTTTGGAGGCGGTTGCTTTTTCTACATCGTCTTCTTTTAAGCTAATCGTAACATCTTTCCATAATCTGCGCAACAACAGAAAAGAAAACAACGAAGACATTTAAGAGGTAAGATAACAGCAGACTTAACAAAGTGCATTGTGAAGCTAACCGTCTGGATTCGTTTTCTTGCTGTTTGGAAATCTTCTTAACCATTTTCATCACTGTTGGCATGGTTGTGGTATCAATAAATAATTCAGGTTCCTGAAGTCAAAGTAAAAATACTGATCAGAAAAACAAGCATTGGCGACTGACAGCTGTTCACTGCAGGGCAGGTTTATTTTGACAAATATGGAGCACATGTTATAAATGTTGCGGAGAATGACAAGTCACTAGGTAACACACAAACCACACAAGCATCAGTTACATAGGCAAGTAATCAGATCAACACTAACTAGTGTCTGTTGAAGGACACACAAAAGCTTGCAGCAAGGCGCCAAAGCTATAATGATGTGTTCACTATCAAAAGGCAGCTAGTGCCCAGTCCTTTATATGGATGAAACCCACTTTTAGACTAAGCTGACATTCAGCGTTAAATCAAATTTCAAGCTGTTTTATCTCGCTAGTTTCATAAGTTCTGTTTATATCCATTCTTATTGTTTCTTGGTTCAAACTGACTACATTCTCTAGTTCAGCCAATAACTTGTTCCGACTTAGAAGCTTGCACTAAAGCAAGTCAAGAAAAGAATGGCGTTTACCTCTCGGTCAGGAAATTTGGCAAACATTTGTCCGTTCCACTCCCCTGTGATAGATAGAAAGGTCTTTTTGTCGTCCGGGGAGCTGAAAAGACAAAATGACATTCTTCACGGTATACAAGACAGGTGCTACATTTAAGTTAAGCGGCAAGTGTGTTTATACTCACATTATTTCACAGGTGATCCGATGTTTCTTTCCACCGTAAAACGGCTGCAATTGCACAAGATTGCCATAATAATCAACAGAATTAAAAGGGAAAATTTGGCCACTACGTTACGTGACGCAAACTTGACAAAATCGAAGCGAAATCATGTCAGGCAAACATTGACGGTGATCAACTTACCCGACAATGAAACTGTACATTTGCTTGATATCCAGTCTTGGAGCAGGTTATATTCGTTTTCCCTCCTATTTCTATCCAAGGAACTGTTAAAATGGATCTACAACAACAAAATACCATCTGTAAGTCTATTTAACGACATTATGTGGGTAGAAGACAGTTTGTGACCAGTAATTTGCGACAACGAAATTCGCTGCCTTTAGAGAATGAGCCAGGCTAGCACTCAACAAGTACTGTGTAGATAGGATCACATATTACTGGTACCTTCCATAGCCATTCGGGAATGTTAAGACGTAGTCCTCGTCATATGGCAAAACAGAAACACAGCCTGTAATAAGAACCCAGCAAGTTGAACAAAGTGTAATCATTATACCGGCTATATTAAGGACGGTGCCTACTAAATACAGAGGTTTTGCGTCAGATTAGGGGCATGGGGGAAAAGTAGATCTTTGCAAGGGCTAGTGGAATCCACAAAGAAAAGTGGGGATAGGCACGCATTTTTTCGAGATAATTAGCCTTTAACCTCAACAAAACACTGACATCAGCATTTTTCGGAAAAAAGAAGGAAAGGATATTTCTTTACAGATTTTCTTAGAATTCGTCTTTACATACAGAAAACAAAGACATTTATAAAGATCCTAAGACTACATGGTAAATGATAACATAAAAACCATTTTTGGTATGTTTTTGATAACAAAATCGTTGCAACGGAGGTTTTAGCGCCCCTGACAGCCTTACTTATGTTCAGCTAAAATACAGTCTAAATAGCTTTTCCTCACAACTAGAAACTAATCACGTGTTGAATAGCCTTGCCACTTCCATTTCATAACATAAAATGTAGGGGTAACCACGCGTTTTTTAAAGTTATTCATCTTTTTCTGAAAACTTTTGCAGTGCCCGCTACATTTTTCCTGTCACCTCCCCAGTAAGCCGGTAAAACATTTGTGTCTCTCGCGCTCGTTTTGTGCGCGCACTACGCCATCTGCAGGCACATGTTTACGGTTGGATTTCAGTAAAATTTTCGACAGATAACAGCTAGTCTCTCAGCTGGAAGCCGTTAACAGTTACTGGTTAGCGATACGCCGCTATTCTGGTATTCCTGGTAGTAGTACAGGTTCATTAAACTTGATTTGGTCACGGCACAGGGAGCACACAATCTTGCTGACAGTGAGTAGGAAGAGAGTAAATAAAGGAATGAAAAGAATGACTGAATAGTTTACTATTGTCTCCTGTTGTTGTTTCTTACGCGACCTTACAGGAAAAATCGCTACCTACAAGTCCTGCATAAACTCGTACCTAGGCCTTTTCACGCTGTACAATTTTTTGTTATAACATAACTAAAGCAAAGCGCGCGCTCTGATTGGTTAATTTAGCGTCTACTACTTGCCCATGGGTGTACGCTGCTGACGTGTGTACTAATGCTTACAAAGCAAATCTTTTGACAGACATTGTTTCCAAAGTAATGGCCGACGTTCTTCTGCCAGAAATGCGAAACTGTCTTCACAGTTGTCTGA